GTGGTGATTCATGAGGTTGACTAAAACATCTTTAAGGAGCTATATATATATATATATATATGAATTTTCTATGTTCTATGATAAGTACACTCAGGATTCCATGCTGAAATGTTTTCATAATTAGATGCATAACAATGTAAAAAATCAAGCTCTATAGAATACCTGATGTAAGCTGGTTGTCTTTAGTGATCAGAAGACAGTCCCTATCTGCAGAATTCATTATTATTTCTACAGTTCCTATCTTTTCCCAAAATATACTGTTATAACATTCAAGAAGACTGAACTGTCACTCTTATTTTATAAATCTTGAAATTGACTCGATTTGGTTCTGTGGCATACAAATTAAACTGCAGAAATATAGGAAATTGGTTTTGCAATGTTCACCTTTAAATTTAGAGATGGGACATTAAGTGGTCTTCCACAGCAGATATGTTATAAGATGAAACCTTAAATCCACAATGCTGAAGAATTTCTTGTTGCTTAATTCTGCAGAGTGCCTTGTACAAGAAAGCCTGGCATAATAATAAAAAGGCCCACACAGAAGAATCTAACTATTTGTAGATACCGATGTTAAAGGGATAATCACTATGTTATCCAAAAAGAAGAATTCAGAAGAATAGTGTTTGATGAAATGTCCATGACAAATTAGTAATGATCTCCTTCTTGAGACTAATGCACCAAAGAGATAGCACTAGATGGAAAAAAATGAAGCAGAAAACAGTTTTGAACCATTATGTACTATTATCATAACTGTATACTTAAACTTAAACATTGGTTAACATAAGCCAGGTTTAGCAGGCATTGATCCAATGTCTTCCAAGGTCTTCAAAGCCATTTATCCTAGCAAGGAAAAGTGAGATGCAAGTTGCCCTAGAATATTTATGAGCACCCAGCAATTTAAATGCTTATGTCTTTCTAATTTTTTTGCTATCAAGATCTCTTAGTATTCCCAATATTTTGAGATGATGCTTTTTATTTCTCATAAGTTAATGTTGCTGCAAAAACATATGATTCCACTGGTCTTTGATTAAAAAATTTCCCATCAATCAAATATGACAAACTCCTACAACTCTAAAACAATCTGCTCAGATAACAGCTATCCATGGATGTCTGAACATGGAAGTATTACAAAAATATGGCTGCACCTTGAGTATGATATCAAACGCTTGTAAATCTGCAAGAGACAGAAAGCAAGATACTTTTTTTCCTTTAGTACTATGCTATCACTTGACTATTAACACATTAGTAAAAATAAGATTGAGTTTATAAACTATTGGCAAAAAGAAAACATGGCACCAGAATCTGTATATGTGCAAAGTTAACAGATAATTCTCATTATGCAATTCTAATTTTTCATCATGATTCAGTAATATGGATGATTTTTTAAAAAATGTATCCACATTAAAAAGTTACACCTCAAACCTTTTACTGATATGAGGACATTGGGACCTGCTTCCCCTATTCACATGTCCATGAACACTGAAACAAAGTTAATGGAGCAACCATGATTATGTCTGTTAGTCATACTGTGCACAGAATATGCTCCGGCTAAAATGAGAAGGTAAATACCACAAACATATCAAAGTAATTTTCACTGGGGTACATTTGGAATAGATTTCTATTAAATCTAACACAACTCAGAAATCTGACTTCATATTAGGGAAAGCAGCACAGAATCTTGGTTTCAGTTACCTTTAATCCTCTTACTTTCCAGAGTTGCCAGATCTTTCTTTTTTCAGGAATAGATTGAAAGTTTAAACATGTTAACCAGATGCTAAAGGCCATATAATTCATATTAATCTGATCCAAATATTTGTAGCACTATGTCAAATTTATAGGAAGTGAAATGTTTATATTTTAGTATTTCAATTACAAAATGTCAATGATATGCTCATTTAATTAACATGGCAAGATTTCTCACCATGAAAATGGCACTGAAGTTTTAGACATATATACCTGAGGAGCAGAGAGTGCACAAAAGTTACCCCTATTTTATTTACCCATGTTCCCAGTATTCCAGATTTATATTCCAGCCTATGTAATAATTCTATGAGGATGCTGGAAGTGTTTTACTGTATTTATTACAATAAACTTATTATAATACCAGTCCCCAGAGAAAGCCAAAATCAAACTAACTGAAAGGATAAAACTGATGTCACATGGTATCCAGACCTTTACACTGCCTTTAAAGAAATTCCTCTAAATCCTTCTGCAATACTTTTCAATTACAAAAAACAAGCTAATTAAGGGGAAATAGCATGTGAGCATAGCCTTAATATTGGCAAATAACCTTTTCCGCCATACATGATTGCTTACTATCTTGTCCAAATGCTACTCGAGCTTGAGTTTTCAAAATGGATGCCTAAATTGCAAACTACCACATGTACGACTGATGAGAATACTCTTTTTTTTAAGCACCTAGATTTGGAAATTAGAATTAGAATTAAAAGTTTAAATATTTTCAGATATCACATTTTTGAAGCAATTTAATTGTAGGTATGTCCATGTAATACAGATATAGCTGAAGTTTAACAAACTTAATTTGTTTTAGTCAAGTGATTCCAAGATCAGCAGTTGGGTATGATCATATCCTAAATTACAGTAAATCCAGACTGCAATGATCCAAGTGATCAAAATTCACAAACTGCATATGAACCTTTAGAGCAAATGAGGTAAAAAAAATAAGGGTATGTGTTCAGGATTTTAAAACCATTTAAAAAGTCAATTTATAATAAATAGTTTAGACATGAACAACTTGTAGCTCTTCAGCTGTTGTTGGACCAAAACTACCATCACACCTCACCACTGATTACAAATGCAACAGTATCGACAGGCCACAAGTTGCCCACACCTGCAATACTGAAGCTTTCCTTTTCCTCTTCAGACATTCCTCTTGATGGCCAGCATTCATGATAACAAGACACTGTCAGAATAATCCACATCCAAGGTTCCCACTAAGCTGGATGCGTGCACGCACACAACTCTGCTTCTCTTCGCGCAGCTCTCTTCCTTTTCCATACACCTAACGCATTAGATTTTGGTTAGGATGGAACCCAGTGCACAGGGGGCGGAGTCACAAAATAAAACAGAAAGGAAACAAGCTTTCTTTCCCTTTTTGTCACTCAGCTAAAAGGGTGTGCATGGACACATACAGTTACTTTTCTTCCCTCTGCTTGATTGGTACTCCCTATGTACCCCGAACTGACAGTTTTCCTTCTTTTTATCTCAAGAATCTCTTGGATTTTATTTCCTTATAACCCTGTGCCACAATCTCTCCTTTCTCTGTCACCTAAGCTGATCTGCTCCCCCATGTCTCAATATTCCCCTTAATGTACTATAATTCTCTGTCCATTTCTACTCCTCCTTGTTGAATTCAATAGCAACAGTATACAAAGTTGTCTCTCCACCAGAAATTTGTAATTGGACAGTCACATATGGAAGTCATCTGTGTAGAATGGTTGGTTGCAACAAGCTGGAAAAACCAGCATGAGCACCACTGCACACCTTTAGATATTGTGATGAAGGAATTTTCCTATCTTCAGACCAATTTTTCATAGGCTTTAATGTACTCACAAAAATATGGAAAAGAGAACCACAATAATTGTTTAACTGGAATCCAACATGACTACTGAAAGCCAAAGAGAGGGGACATAATTACCTCATCATCCAGAATCACTCTAACTCTCCTCTTAAAATGTAGTTATAAATGAGACTCAACAAAGAAGAAAGCCACAGAAAAGCTCATTGAGATGGTACAAATAATGAGCACTCCCAAAGCATCAATTCAATATGTGATATCTGAAAGTATTGAGAAGAAAAATTTAGCAATATTTGCCAAAGATTTAACAATGGTTGCTTCAACACAGTTTTTACATAAGCCCAAAACAATTACACTCCATTTCATTCAAAGTCTTACTTCAAGTTATTTGCCCTTCAAGTAATTTATTCTTCTGGTAGTTCAGACTGATGATGAGGTTACAAATTAAGATAATCTTTGTTCCCCAAAGGAGATGCAGTTTCATTTTAGGCATCCATATTTTTGAAAACATCTACAGAACATTTCAGGTTTTATAGGGCACAGATGAAGGTTAAGAAAGAACTTACCAAACATCAGGTAAGACTCGCATTTACCAAGTACAAAGATTTTATGAGAATCTGAGATATGTATATTTTTGGCAAGACCATTTGTTGAACTATTTCAAAAAGATATATAGATTAAGGTATCTCTCTGTTGAGTTTCAATACTGGACAATTCATTAAATGGAAACCAAAGGGTTAAACAAACAGTAACTTATTGCACTGAACTAATATATAGACTATATTCAGATTAAGATATAAACTCTATTTATATAATAAAACTTCTTACAAGAGAAAAGTGCTATGCCACATATATTATGATAAGCTACACAGCTTATACTCAACAGTTCTAGTGAATAAGGCATCCAATTTTCCCATGTGGTTTGTTGTCATTGTTTATAAGATGTTCTGAATGTTTTGTGACACATAATACCTTTAAAGAAAAAAGTTAAAGAACAAGAATAGAACAGATCTGCTAAAAACTACTAGACATGCATGCCTTAAATTCTATTCTGACTACTGACTGGATAATCTGTCATATATTAAAGACAGATATATAATATTAAAAAACAGAATATTCTACAAAGTAGAATTAATTGTATTAACATTAATTTTAGATACATATAGTGGTTCATGTATCATAAAGAATGACACCACTTTAGGCTTTAATCTTATACATTCCTACATGGGAGTAAATACAATGGAGCTTATTTCTGACTAATCATGCATATGATTGCACTGTGAATGTGTAAAGTTAGAAAATATGTTAATATAGTGCCTAGCTTAATTCAACATGTCTAACTGAAATTCTCTTAGAAAACTGCACACTGTTGCTTTTTTTTCTTAGTTAATACTTGAAGTTGCTGTTCTATGTTAGTTAACTAGACACACAACTACCAAAAATACCTCCAGAGCTTACTTACTCTATTTGAGCTCCATGAGCCACAAGGGCACTTATGGATTCCATACTACCAGACCGAGCTGCTTTGTGAATAGGAGTTTCACCAACATAATCCTGAGGGAGAGAAATGGCAGTTTAATATCAAACACTTTTGATTTCAATTAATAATTCTTATACTGAAGACAATAAATAAATAAAATAAATAAATGAATAGTGATAAATACTACCAGTTAGCAAAGACAGATAATCACAATGGGAACCCTGTAAGTAATCATTTGGCCAACCCAGGAAAGATGCTGATCACAACCAACTCTCAGGTAATTTTGGCAGAGTGGGAAAGGGTTGCTAGCTAGACAGAATGTTGACTGATGTGAATCTGCACCTGTTCTCCCTTTTTCTATGCTAGGCCAGTGCACTGCTTCACATCAGCTATGAAGAGGTAAGGCAAAAAGATCCTGAGACAGTAGGGGCAGGACTAAGAGCATTGAACTTTGATTACAATAAAAGTGGTTTAGTAATTGTACCATAAGATTTATAGAAGACAAGCACAACATCAATACCTGCTTGTTTATGTTGGCTCCTGATTGAATTAACCAGATGAGGCACTGAGGATGTCCTCCAAAAGCAGCAATGTGGGCTGGTGTTTGTGCAAATCGTGTTGTACAGGCATTCACAGCTGCTCCTGCTCTCACTAGCTGCATTAAACAGTCCAGCTTTGAAAAAAGAAAAGGGGAGGGAAGGGAATATATTCAGTTAGTTTATCACTATTATACAAATCAGCCAGAAATGTTGGCATCTGTTGGTATTTATTATAATGCCACCCAGTGACCTAGTCCAGACATAAAGATTAAACCATACTTTGCCATATCAAGAACAAGCCTCAGACATGTCAGGTCCTGCAAACAACATAGTATGAAAAGCTGAATAAACCACTATTCTTATTTATTTATTTATTTCATTTATATCCCGCCTATCTAGTCAATAGACCACTCTAGGCGGCTCACAACAGGGGTACAACAATAACTAAAAACGAATTTACAAAGAAGAAAACTTCCAACCATGAAATTATGCACTAAGAGAAAGAAAAAAGGAAAATCAGGATTAGCTAAGGGGGGGTGGGGGGGGGGAAGGCCTGCCGAAACATCATTGTCTTTAATTGCTTTTTAAAAATACCCAGCGAGGGGGCCACGCGAATGTCCGGGGGAAGGTTGTTCCAGAGGCGAGGAGCCTCACTTCTGAATTAACTATTCTCTTGTTTTGTCTGATTTCTGAAAGCTGTAATTAATTAATACAGCATGACATCAACTGATACTTTGGTCCTGATTTTCATTAACTAATTGGAAACAGAACAAGTTATACTTCCTAGAGTTCACTGGGAATAACAAAATTCCCCAAGAGGGAGTGAGGATTAAGTATTTCACTTTTTTTATCACACCAAAATTACTACCAATTAAGCATGTATTGCTTTAACAAAAAAACAACATAACTGACAACCTAGTTAGCACAAACATGTACAGTGGTACCTCAACTTATGAACGTCTCCACTTGCGAACGTTTCAAGGTACGAACGGCTCCGTTCGCAAAATGTTGCTTCAACTTGTGAACAGAGCCTCAACTTGCAAATGAAAAAAGGCAGGGGAAAAGGGCAGGAAATTCAAATTTCCCCTGCCTTTCTTCGTTCCATTCAAACCGTTGGTGGTGAAGAGCTCCATCGGAGACCTGCTGGGGGTCTCCCGCCACCATGATCGTCGCCTTCAGATGTCTCTGGAGGCCTTCTGGGGGTCCGATTGCTGTGGCATCAGGTCTCTGATGGTGGCGGGGAAGCCCTGGGAGACCTCCTAGGGTCCCGCACCGCCATCGGAGACCTCATGGGGTTCCCCCGCCACCACGATCGGTGTCTTCAGGCTTTCCTGGGGGGGGCAGACCGGGCCTACCAGGGGAAGCTCTTTCCTCGTAGGCCCGGTCTACCAGGCTTTCCTGCGTTCGGAGGCAGCAGTCACCCAGCGCCGGGAGGCCCAGGGGGGTCAGGCGATTGGCCGCTCACCCCCTGGCCACTCGCCCCCGGCAGTGGAGGGCCGGGAGGCTTGAGCTGGCCGGGAGCGTGGCTGTTCACCCCCGGCAGAGGCAGTGGAGTGCTGGAAGGCTTGAGCTGGCGGGGCGCTTGACCGCTCGCCCCCGGCCACGGTGGAGGCAGCGGAGTGCTGAGGAGGCTTTGAACCAGTAAGGAACCATTTTGGTAAAAAAAGGAGTTCTTAGATCATTATCAGACATGTACTCACAAGACCTACTCTGACTAGTGGAATGTACTCAATAGACATAGCCTCAAAAGTATACATGCTTTATTTTAAAAATGTGCAATGCACATTTAAGGAGAGAGTTGGAAGCAGTCTCAAACGTGATGCCTGTTCAAAAAGATATCAATGCTGCTTTTGTCTCTCTACAAAGGAATTATCATTCTCTAAAGTTGTACATTACCATACATAAAAATATTCCTACTACATATTGCAATGGCCTTGCCACATGGTTGCAAGA